TGATGAGCCTCCTGATGATAATTTCCAACTGCACATGCAAGCTATTGGAGGAATGGAAGACCGTGTGGTATCTGATGCGGCTGGTCAACGCCCTCAGTTCACTCCAGATTTAGAGCAAAGTCATGCACAGGGACACGTGGCGCCATCTGGAATGGAACAAACACATGAGGACACAACCCATACATCATCGAATACACCAGTAACTGCTGTTCGCCGAAGCACTCGATCACGAAATCCCCCAGCTTGGCAGTCTGATTATGACGTTCGAATTAATACTGTGAAAGTGGACCCTCTCCCCATTTCTTCTTCTGCTCCAGCGGCACACTCAGGTAATCTGTATCCTTTATCTGATTATGTGAATTATAATCGTTTTTCGTTGCAGCACCGGACGTTTCTTGCTGCGATTAGTACTACACAGGAGCCCCATACTTATCGAGAGGCAGTCCAGTCCCCACACTGGAGGGAAGCTATGAAACATGAAGTCGACGCGCTAGAACGGAACGGGACATGGCAGGTTCAACCGTTACCACCAGGGAAGAAACCTATATTTTGTAAGTGGGTATACAAAATAAAATATAAAAGTGACGGCTCTATTGAGCGCTACAAGGCGCGTTTGGTTGTGTGTGGCAATAGGCAGGTGCATGGCGTGGATTATGATGAAACTTTTGCTCCTGTGGCAAAAATGGTCACAGTTCGTACCATTCTTGCAGTGGCAGCTTCTCGTAATTGGGAAGTTCACCAAATGGATGTCGATAACGCTTTCTTACATGGTGACTTACGTGAGGAAGTGTACATGCATTTTCCGCCAGGCTATTCCTCTTCTCGCCCTGGCCAGGTATGCCGCTTACTCAAATCACTGTATGGGCTTCGCCAAGCACCTCGTTGTTGGTTCTCTAAGCTCACCAAGGCGCTCAAATCATATGGTTTTCAACAATCCTATGCTGATTATACTTTATTTACGTATCGCCGTTGTGATAAGATTTTGTGCATATTGGTCTATGTGGATGATTTACTTATCACAGGCAATGATCCCAATTTAATTGATGAATTTAAATCCTATCTGGGTCGGCACTTTCCTATTAAAGATTTAGGATTTATTAAATATTTCCTTGGGATTGAGGTGGCCCGCAATAGTACAGGCATATTTTTATGTCAACGAAAGTATGTTCTGGATATTTTGACCGAGACAGGTTTGCTTGGTGCCAAGCCCGCTCCATTTCCTATGGTTCAGAATCATGGTCTCCAATCTGATGATGGGCCTCTGTATCCTAATCCGGATCAATATCGGCGTTTAGTGGGTAAGCTCATTTATCTCACTTTGACAAGACCGGAGCTTAGTTATGCGGTCCATATTTTGTCTCAGTTTATGCAGCAACCGCACATTGCTCACTGGGAAGCTGTGCTTCGTGTTTTGCGGTATTTGAAAGGCTGCCCGGGTCAGGGCATTCTCCTTCGTCGTAATTCTTCTTTATCCTTGACTGGTTATTGTGACTCCGACTGGGCTAGTTGTCCTCTTACACGACGCTCTATTACTGGATACTTTGTTATGCTTGGCGAGTCTCCTATTTCTTGGCGTACTAAGAAGCAGGCTACTGTTTCCCGTTCCTCTGCTGAAGCTGAGTATCGGTCCATGGTTTCTCTTGTCTGTGAGTTAGTTTGGCTTAAAAGTGTGTTGTCCTCACTAGGCGTATCTCATTCCCACTCTATTCAGATGTTTTGTGACAATAAGGCGGCTTTGCATATTGCTTCAAATCCTGTTTTTCATGAACGTACAAAGCATATTGAAATTGATTGTCACTTTATTCGGGATCATATCCAGGCAGGAACTATTGCCACGTCCCATTGCCCTTCTTCTGAACAATTAGCTGATATTTTCACCAAGCCCCTCGGGGAATCCTCCTTTGTGTACTTATTATCCAAGATGGGCGTTCGGAATCCGTACACTCCATCTTGAGGGGGGGTATTGTGTGCTGCATACGGAGCCATGCAATTATTCTCATCCCATATAGATCGGCTATGTTGTTATATTTGTATATATCACAATTAGATTAGAATAGCAGTAGTTTATTTTTGGTCTTATCACTTCCAATTTATTAGCCGATAGAATTTATTGTAATTGTATATAATGCTACTGAGTGATTAATGAAAGGCAGACTTTCTACCCATACCTGCGCACAAAACATTATCTTCCTCGTGAAATTTATAGTATTTCCTTCGTCCATAGTCTAAAACATACTACGTATTTGGGTTTGGTACATGTATTATGGACAAAAGAATTTGCTCATAATAGGGGTCAACCATGACTCATGAATCGAAAGACTTGCAAATACACCCATCGACTTATTGAAAATTAAGCAATCAGATCCTTTTTTACCTGTTGGTGCAAGTAAGACGATGAGAAATTACCGACACCAACAGATAAAAAAGATCCAATTGCTTAATTTTTAATGAGTTGATGGGTGTATATGCAAGTTTTTTTGTTCATGGACCTGATTGCAAAATCACAAATAGTTCGATGGTTTATTTGTCCTTTTTCTCTTTTTCTAACTGTAGATACTAAAAGTGAAAAATTTGTATAGCAACTCAACTTTTCTCTATATAATTATTTGATCTTTTTAATATATTTGACAAAAGTTTTTCCACTAATTGTTTATTCCCTCGTATTTTAATTTCTCGTTTTTAGTAGTGGTAAGACATTGAATTTTGCTCTATACACACACATTTTACTTTGATACGATTTCCAAACAAAGACTTAGCTTGAACCTGGTGAGACTCACCTAGCTAGGTTCATACACATGCAGTTAAGATTGTGCAGCCTTATAACTCTCTCTGGCCTCTGCCGCAGTGGCACCCCCATCAACCAGCATCTTGTCATTCTCTCTGTTGCCTGAGAGAGAGAGAAATTAAAGAGTGGTTTGGGGTCCTCTTTTAAAATCAACTTTTTGGAGCTTCTTTAAAAACATCCATTTTTACTGTTTTCTTGACTTCCATAAACAGAAAAGTTCTGAATTCCACTTCTTGTGTTTCAGCACCTAAACTTTACAAATAAACCCTATTCCGGCAATCTCTCTCTCCATCCAATGCTACGCTCTTGCATTATTGAAACTTTCCTACTCCCAAACTTGTTGTTTTGAACCACTCCATCAATTTCTTTATATCTCCATTAAATATATGCACACATAATGAATTATGAATGATCAATGCGTATATAGCATTCGCAATATCTATGTAATAAGCAAAGGTTGCAATAAGTATAAAAAAATATATTAATTCCCCATTCAATAGTGATTTGTCAAAAAGGTAACAGGCGCTATTCAGATGGTCATTTGCAAGGGCGAATCCAGGAATCTGGGTTACCCTGAGCTGAAATGCAATTATACTAGACTTAAACATTAGCAGGGTGTGCTAAATACAAAAAATTAAAAAATTTACACTAGAAAAGTTGAAAAAATTTTAAACTGTCCTGGGCTTCAGCCCACCGTAGCCTGTACATAGATCCTCCCCTGGACTCATTTGAATATTCCTATCACTCTTTCAATTGAATGTTATTTAAACAACGGAATTGCTGCAATTTTTTTTATTATAAATAATTGTCATTTATTTGCAGCCATAGTTAAAAATGTATCTAACATATATGGCAACAGTTTCGTTTTTGTTACTATTGATAAAAATGGCTTAAAACTGTTGCTTATCTACTTATAAAAATTGTTCTTTAATTTATATCACCCCTTTGAAAAATTGTTCTATATTTCGCACCCAGCTTAAAACAATTTCTTATTGCGTTTGCTTTATATTTCATTTACTAAAGTATAAGCAACCTCTTGCATTGCCACAATTTTAAAATTGTTTCCAAAACCGACTGTTACGGTTTCTTACTATTACAACGATTTTTTAACGTAGTAATGGATCCAAAATGATGTAGTGATGGTTTCCCTCCTAATTTGGGGCGAGTAAAAAATGGGATGAGCCTGATGATGTTTTCAAATGGAAAAAGTCGTATATACACATAACATGTACATCTTCTAGTTGATTATATATGTACACAGTCATTTAGAAGTTGCGTGTGCACGCAGACATGTAGACAACTTATATGTACACCAAGCACATCTATTTCAAATTTGAGGTTGCAACGGTGGTCCTAATTTCTAGCTCAACTAGGGCACGTATGGTAGGTATTCCCCTCTCATTTTTATTGGATTTTTTTTGGGCACAATAGACTTAAATTAATAACACATCATTCAGATAGTAGGTGAACTGAAAAAAAGATTCTTGACAACCGACGACTCTCGAACCAGACTCTGAGTTTATCATATCGACAGAAGCAATATATCTCTTCGGCACAGACCGATAGCGGACGAATGAACTAGCGATTATCCTTGCTCCAACCCTAGAGAGAGTTTACCGGAGTGACTTTTTGTCTCCACGCCCCATATGCGATGAGTACACAATAGTACGGAGTATTAAACAATGGTGTGTCCTATAATTATGCATGTTATTGTGGTGCGATTGAAAATTGGAAAAAAAATTATTGGACTTTTTTTATTAATTACTTTTAATAATATTTATTAATGGATTCATAATATTTTGATCGTGCAATAAAATAAATATATACGAGTAGCTCATAAGTTATAAACAAAAAATAATTTAAGTGAAGTGATTCGTGTTTTTAGTCGAGAAGCTAAGAGAGTATAAATTATTCTATTGTAAGAGTGTAAGTCTATTAAAAATAGGTGACAACTCCGGTACCTTTTTAAAAACAGAGGTACCGTACCTAACATTCGTTTGATTGGACCATATCACTTTATCAATTTTAATTTAGATTTAAATAATTCAACTGCTACCTTTTCATTGGTCCATGTGGACAAAGGTACGGTACCTTATGGTACCATAGAAACTACCTTAAAAATATTAATAGGTTATCATTGATTAAATGCTGTTCGTTTTTAAGTGATGAAATAAGTTAGACCTAGAACCAAATCGACTGACCGATATTTGTAGCCGTTGGACTAGAATGAAATCGGGTGTTGGTACTTAGATTACATAATATGATCAGGATTGGATCTGGTCTGGCTGCTCATACATACATATTCCGTATTAACTAAATTTCAATCTAAATAAAAACGAGACTAATACGTAGTATATAATTATAAGATCACAAAATTAAAGCTGGAAATCTATAACAAATTAAAGCATCTCACTGACACAAATGTTTTCGCAACAGAGATAGAAACCCAGACTTGAGGCTAAAAACCCAGAAACTGTATTGCTCCATCTCGGCGATCGAGTGATAGTGGATGCACAAAAAAAGGGAAAGAAAAAAGCAGTGTTTGGGGTTCTTGAATTGCTCCATTTCACCAAAATGTGAAAAGACAAAAAACAGCGAGCTGAGCTGAGTCCACTTAATTCATTTTCTGTTTTTCTTTTGCTGTATCTGATGTGATCATCTGCTAGCTAGCTAGTAGGAGAGCCTAAGGGACAGGTCAACTGTAGTGGATGAGGAAGATCCATCACTAGTAGATGCCATGGCTGCCACATCTGGAGATGAAGGTCTAGTTGTAGTAGTAGGAGTAGGAGCACTCATCATGCTCATCATCATCACCATATCATCACCATCATCATCATACAAACTCCTGCTTTTCTCTGGGAAAAAGTCATACTCTACCACTCCTTTTGATGATAATGATGAACTTCTCTTCTTCTTCCTCTCCACTGCCACTTCACTCTGCAAAATCCAAATCTCCCTTCATTCTCAAGTAGAAATTAAACCAAATAAAAAAAGAAGAACCCAGAAACGTACAAAAGGCATTTTAAAGTTTTTGTTGAAAAAACAGGTACAGATAACCATTTCAAGAAAAGTTTTTTAATGTTTATACTGCATGTTTACCTGCTTGTAAGCACAATCGGCATGACAAAACAGTTTATCATTAAAATCCCATCTTCATTAAAATGTAATCCAAATTTCTATGAGTCACACGTTTAAGATCATAAAGGTTCAGATCAAAGATTAAACCTTTCATCAATCTTTCAGCTTTTTTTAATACTAGTAAGTAACAAAAATTCAAGAACCTAAATTAAAGATGAGGAAAAACAAAGGAAAAGAAAAACCCATCCATGGCAGAAGCTAGGGAAGTGATGAAGACCTGATGACAGAGATGGCAGCGATTGAAGGTGAAGTTCGGGGCTGAAGAGAGGTCTTTAGAGTTCTTCTCATGGCCGATCACGTTGAAAGGGTTTGGATTATTAGGAGCAGAGCACCCCCTGAACCCGTACAGATCATGGTGCTGATGATGAGAATAAGAAGAAGGAAACATTTCCCCGTAATTGTAGCCGCAGCCATAAGGGCCCAGCAGCTTGGGAAAGTGGAGAGGCATAGCGCGAATAATGCCGTCGTTGCTCATTGCCGCCGCAGTCACGGCGGCTGAGGGGGAGAAGACGACGGAGGAGAGCGGCGGTACTGTTACATTAAGAGGGTGGATGGTGTGGGTGGGGTTGGACGGCGGCGGCGTCAGTTTCTTCAAGCTCGGGTCTCGCAAGAGGCGTTCAAGCTCAGCAACGCCCTTACCTCTCTGAGGCTGCTTCTTTTTCTTCCTTGCCGCCGCAGCTGCAGACTCGTTGGCCGCCGCTTTGGTCTTCCTCCTCCCGCAGTTCCGGGGAGCTATTTCCGACGACCTAGTTGCCATTCTTCTTGTCTATTTTCTTTCTTCCTTTTTCTTTTTAGATACAGACAGATATAAAATGGGAGGTAGAGAAGGAACAAATTTGAAAGCTGAGAAATGAGAAGAAGAAAAAGATAGGCTTGTTAAATTCTTGTGTTCTGGCTGTGTCTCTATCTCTCTCTCAGCTGGGTCTGAATATATAGTACGGAGTGAAAGAGTTGTGATACTGGCATTCCCCGGCCTTTTCCCTTGTGCCAACTTGCTTTCCTTGTTTGTCCCTAACCTACTCACTCATTTATGCTTTCATTTTTTTACTTTTGGTTTAAGACTCCAGTATCTATGTACTAATCCGGGTGGGAATCCCGACAACCTTTAACCCTCATCCCGACCAGTTTCATATTTTGTCCTACTCTAACTAAAATACGGAGTATCCGGATTAGCTTCATGTTTTCCTTTATATCTTGAGTGGGTACAATATTTATTCATTCATTATTTATTTATTTATTTATTTATTTATTTATTTATTTATTTATTTATTTATTTATTTATTTATTTATTTATTTATTTATTTATTTATTTATTTATTTATTTATTTATTTATTTATTTATTTATTTATTTATTTATTTATTTATTTATTTATTTATTTATTTATTTATTTATTTATTTATTTATTTATTTATTTATTTATTTATTTATTTATTTATTTATTTATTTATTTATTTATTTATTTATTTATTTATTTATTTATTTATTTATTTATTTATTTATTTATTTATTTATTTTCTACTTTTTCAAGACTTTTCCTGATCCTACTTTGACCTGCTGTTGGAAGATATTTTTAGTTCTGTTGAAAATAAAGAGAAGGTTTAGTCTCTATTTTTGTAGACGGTTTGCGAACCGCATTCCTGATGTGTTAGCTAGGCAAAGCGTGTTACTCGTAGATCAAGATAGAAGTTTTGACGTTATTCCTGATTGTATTGTAAGCTAGTTGATGAATGATTTGCTTAGTAATGGTATTATCTCTTTGGTTGTAAAAAAAGACTTCTCGAGATCGGAATATTGTGTGCTAGTGCGGGTGGTTCCCTAGTTCTTAAAGTTTAGCTTTTTGCGGTTTTGTTGGGATTCTTGGACGGCTGATTCCAATAAGTGTGGTTAACTGGAATTGTCGAGACTTGAAGAACTTAACAAGAGTGCATGTATTAATAGCCATAGTAAAAGAAAAGCGACTATCAATAGTTCTTTTATGGAAACAAAGGTCGGGCGAATACGTACGATAGAGAAGTTTTTGAAAACTGGGATATCAACCACTACAAATAGAGGTGGAAGGTGATAGGCAAGGAGGCACTTAGCTCTAGTTTAGCGATCAAATATAGAAATCTCTCTTTTGAAAACGGATAAATATTTTATTGATTGCAAAGTGTGTAAGATAACCAGAGTGGAGGCTAAATGGTTTTTATCATGATCCGAAGAGCAGAAGAAGGAGGGAGGCATGGCATTGGATTCACTACCATGGTTGGCCGGTTAGGGTATGGGTAAGCGGGCTTCGGAGCTTTCCATTTTCGTGGTACCAATTGGCTAATGAAGACCTGTTGTCCATGTTGATGCAGCCCGAGCAGTATATTTGGAGACTTCGGCAAGTGATCTTCTTACCCTATTTCTACAGGTTGTTAAAGTTGATCTTAGATGGGGTTCTAGTCCTTTTAATTTGAGAACTAGTGGTTAGATAGGAGGAGCATCGTGACATTGTTAGTCACATTTGGCTGGCAGGAGGGAGTATATTGTTCAGGAATTGTCTACAATTTTGTGGGTAGGAGTTATAACATTTGAGTAAAACATATAGGAGAGGATGTAGAGAGCAAATAAATGTCTGCAAGAGGAGACTAGAATGATTATATAGCAAGGAGGATGAAAGAAACCTCAGTGAGTTTGTTCATATTAAAGTATCGTATCTTACCAAATCAATTAGAGAAAGAGAGTATTTATTGGAGGCAGAGAGCTAAATAGTTCTAACTTTGGGACGAACATATAAATTTGATGTATTTCCATAATTTGGTTAAACAAAGACGTCGCAAGAATAGGATTTATGGGCTTAAATTAGTAATAATACACATGCATGGTGGATGGGTGACAGATAGAGGGGGACTTGGTATTATGATTACCAACTAATTTATGGATATTATTGCCTTAGGATGCATCACGATCAAGCATCGGTTCCTAGCGAAAATGGGCGCGCAGAATTTCACAAGTGCAAAATAGAGAGCTTCTTCGACCGATTTTTCCATAGGAGGGGCAGAAGACGGTTTTTGGTTTTTAGTATGCATCCGGATAAAGCACCGAGACCGGATGATATGAACCTAGCGCTTTTCAAATCTGTTGGGACATTGTTGGAGATGGAGGTGAAGTTGGGCATTTATGTTCTACTATGTTTCAATTCGAAAAAATCCATAAGGAATTAAATGTGACAAATTTAGTTCTTGTGCTTAAAAAGAATCACCTAGAGGGGATCGTGGACTGGCGTCAGATTGTGTTATGCACTGTGATATTGTAAAAAACATTCAAAATTTTTGGTTAATAGAACGAAAGGTATCCTTCTTCTTTTAGTTTCGGATTTCCAGTGTGATTATAAGGAGGAAGTCAATAGTTGATAATATAATGATAGCCTTAAAACCCAACGTTATCTCATACATTATTGGCAAGGTAGAGTGGGGTTTGATGATTTCAAATTGGACATGAGTAAGGTATATGACCGTGTAGAATAAATTTGTTTAGAAAAGTTTATCATCCGTATGAGGTTTGATAGGAGGTAGATCAATATCATCGGGGAATGTATTTCTACTATCAGTTACTTATTTCTTTTGATAGAGATACCCGACCAGGTACATCCACATAGGGAGTTGAGTCAGGGTGACCCACTATTCCCTTATTTGTTTATCATTATTTGTTTATAATGATGTCAAAAGGGTTGAGCACATGGTGAATCATTATATTTCTTTCAAAAGCAGTCCATATGGATTTCCTGAGAGAACAGTGTGTGGAAATTGAGAGGGTCATGAATGAATATTGGTGGAAGGGAGGGGACTTTAATAAGAGAGGTTTGAGGTGGAAATCTAACGATAAAGGTACATGAACAGCCATTTGATCTCCATCAAAATCTGCATTGAATCCTTACAAACTAAGGGGTGTAAAAAAATAGCACGCCCCTCCACTAAAATGGACTGAAATGCCTGGCCTGGAGACGTATGCATGTAATACCCCTTAATTGCATGCATAGTTTACAATAGATCAACTCCTTAAAGGAAGGTGCACCTTTGTTAGCACAAGTACTACTACAAATTCTTTTTAATCAAATCTCGGATATTACAATGTGTATCCAGAAGAGGCGGTAGATTTAGGATTCTGATGCATTAGAGAATTTAATATCGTCATGCTTTTTGGTCTCTAAGATTTTTAAGGCAAAGTATTTTCCTAATTCTGATTTTGAAGGGGCAAGTTTAAGCCATAATCCATCATATGTCTAGAGAAGTATTACGGAGGCATTGGCGGTGAGTAGCGGTGTGGCGCCGTTGCCGGGGAAAGGCAATTAATTTTTCTTTTCATTTTATTTTAAAAAAAAATATACAAAGATTTCTATTTCTTCTCTGAGCTTTGTTTGAGTATATGGTTAGAACCCGATCTATAAACCAAATCACCTACCAAAAAAACCCCGAGACAGAACAAGCCTTCGAGAGGTTTAGGAATTTATTTCCAAATACTTCTTCGGAGGAATCATCAAGCGCTAGTTCTTATTCTAGCGAGAACGATGAGCCAATAATTATGGCTCTTGAGGCGAGAACATTGAGGGAGCTCACGGCTCCTAACGTAAATCAACAACCTCTATGTATCACCTTCCCCACTCTTGATGAAGGTGCTACATTTGAGCTCAAATCGGGGCTCATTCATCCACTCCCTTCATTTCATGGCCTAAGGGGAGAGGATGCAAACAAACATCTTGCGGAGTTTCATATAGTTTGCACTAGTATGAAACCAAATAATGTTACCGAAGAACAAATCAAGCTGAGGGCCTTTCCATTCTCACTGAAGGACACGGCTAAGGATTGGCTATTCTATCTTCCCTCGGGAAGCATAGAGACATGGGCGGCAATGAAGAAATGCTTCCTAGAAAGGTACTACCCCGCCTCCATCTCATCATCTTTGAAAAAACAAATAAGTAACATTGATCAAAAAGATGATGAGACCTTATATGAATATTAGGAACGGTTCAAAAGTTATGTGCTAGCTGCCCCTATCACAGATACACCGAACAAGACCTCATTCTCTACTTCTATGATGGTCTTGTGGATCAAGATCGCCGCATGGTGAATGCAGCGTGTGGAGGGGGCATTGTCAACAAAACCCCTTCCCAAGCAAGAGATCTCATCTCGGAGTTGACCGAGAACTCTAGACACTACAACGGGCGGTCCTCAACTCGTAGAGTTGCCGCTGTAGAATCAACATCATTATTGGAGAGTCAAGTTGCCGGCTTGACTTCTTTTGTTAAGGATTTCCTTTTAAAATCCAAGACCCAAGAAGTCAAGGTCTGCGGTATTTGTACACAACAAGGGAATCCCACGGACTCATGCCCAACTCTTAAAGAAGACAATCTAGAGCAAGTCAACGCCTTGGGTTTCCAAGGACATCAACAAAGGAGGTACGACCCATTTTCAAACTCTGACAACCAAGGATTGAGGGATCATCCAAACTTGAGGTATGGAAACCCCCAACAATCCAACCCACCTTCTCAACCACCTTTTAACAATCAAGGCTCAAATTCTCAACCTAATATGTCAACTGATGACATGATACAAGCTTTGACTTCAAACATGGTTACCATGCAACAAAGCATGGGACAATTTCAACAAACCATGATACAATTCCAACATGAGACAAAGTCAAGCATTAAAAATTTGGAAACTCAAGTTAGCCAAATTTCAAATGCCGTAAGCCGACTCGAAGCGAAGGACTCGGGTAAACTTCCATCTCAAACAGAGCAAAACCCGAGACAACATGTGAATGCAATCATGTTGAGAAGTGGTACGACACTTAAGGAGGTGGAGATGAGTAATCAAAAGGTTGAGGAGGATGATCACGAAGAAACTCAATCAGAGGAGGGGATCCCAAAAGCCAAACTCCCCCCATTGTCATCATATGAACCAGTAGCTCCTTTCCCTGAGGCACTGAGGGAAACAAAGAAGCCAAGGAGATATGCGGATATCTA